GATGAGCTGCTTCTCTGTGAGCGTATTGACGCTCGGTTTACTACCATGGAGGGTAGAATTGACAACTTTAGGCAAGAATTTAGAGTTGCAATGGGTGATGCTGCTTCCAGAGAGAATGAGCTAATGAGTCGGGTTGTGAATATGGAGAACGAATTTCGGGATTTTAGAGACGAAATTGGTAGTCAAGTGAAGTCCATTATAGAGGCAGTGAAAGCAACTATAGGTGATCCGTTGTCAAGGGAGCAGCCTACAGAGTTGAAAAAGAACGATCAGAAGGATGAGGCTGATAATGTGAAAGCTTCTGCAGCTGTTTTGTTGTCAACGGAGCAGCTTATCAGAGGGGAAAAGGGCAATCAGAAGGCTGAGGTTGAAAAACCAAGTGAACCCATTTCTCCTACCTCCGAATCTGTCAAGACTCAAGGGTTAGGTGTTAAGAATTGGGGAGAAGCTGAGGGGGAAATTGGAGATGACTGCGGTTCTGAATCTCCTTCTGTCAAAGTTGTGAAAAAGTCTCCTTGCAAGCAGGCGAAAGCGTCTAAAGTTGAGAAATTCATATTGTTGAGTGATGAAAGTGTTGCTGCTAATGATGGTTGTGCCAAGACTGTGAAGGTATTACACTTTATTAAGTTTTCTAATTATTTGTACTTATGGTGTGGTTACTAATGAACTTGTTTTGTTTTTATGTTTTTGAACAATAAAGGGGCGAAAGGGAGGTGGACTACGTAGTGTATCTAAATTGAAGCCTAGTTTGTATGTGGTCTCTCCATTCGAACGTGCAAATCCCAGAGCTAAGAAAGCACAACCTTTGTACCGTGCTCCTCCCTTTGTTGTTCAGACACCATTGACTCTGGAGGCAGTAAAGATGATTCAATTTGCTTTTAGTAGTTCGCTTCCCGGAAGGTACCTCCCGAAATCATTGCAAGTAAGATTGGATCATATCTGTAGGATGTTTTTGGTATTTGCCTTATTCTAATGTTGTGGTGTTTGAACTTGGTCTTGTATAACAGTGACGTATTGGTTCGTCTTGATGGCGGGGCTCTTGAGTTGTTACGTGAAGATTTGGTCGAGTTTTTGCCCAGGACCAAAATTTCAACAAGGGTGAGTTCCTTTATGTGTGTAATTTAGTAGATTAAACTTGTATTGCTGACTTTGGTATATGTGATGATGATGCATTAGATTATAGAAATGGCATGTCTGTGCAAGACATTAGAAGAACGAAGTTGTGGTCGCAGTGGTGGCGTGTCTTGGTTCTTTCCACCTTCAGTTTCGGTACAATTGTCTGCTTTGTCTATTCTTGTCATGAAATTAATCTATTTGTTTGTTACATGTAGCTTGTGTGGGTAACTATGTTTTATTTTTCTAGGATCGTGCGTATCATTGCAAAAACGAGGAGGAATTTATGGAAAAGATGCGTTCATATAAGATACTTGAGCGATACCGTATAAATGAGCTACTTTACCGCAGTAAGGTATGTTGTAATGTTGTTTTCTAAAAGGAAATGGCTTCACACTCCTATGTTAAATTGATAATTATTGTTTGTTTGTGCATTATTTCAGATTCATGTCACAATTTTCAACCTCACGGTGTCCCACTTCTATCTGGCGGTCTTTAACATGGAAGCCAAAGAAATTGAAATCTGGGACTCAATACCAGGAATTCATAACCAAGAATATGATGCAAGGATGCATAAACTGGTTTGCTTCTTGTTCTTCAAGTTTTCAAACTTGACTTATTGCTTAGTTGTTAGTCGTTTTTCATTTGCCGTCTTTGTCGTTAAATATCGATGAGGGGGATGTTTTCATTTGCAGAAATTGGGTCTAGACTGGTTGCTTAAGGATGATATCTGCGGGGCGTTTTCATTTGTGGACTTTGTGGTTAGATATCGCCGGGATGTTGCTTGCCAACCAAATGGGTACCCTTTGTTGTTGTTCAATCGTGCACTGTTCTAATTAAGTTCGATAATTATTTGTTCGCATCATGACCATGGTAATTATTTGTTATATTACAGGTTTGATTGTGGACTATTTGTCTCCAATTACTTGCTGGATCCAGATCGATATTCCAAGAAGCTTGACCAGTTCGACAGTGACTATGAACGGGCACAACTTACAATGTACTTGCTCACGACGCATTTGAATGAGGTGAAAGCTACAATTACGACACAATCAGAAGAATATTTTGACAGTCATGTGAGACCTGCCCAAATTGAGACTGAGAAGGTGAATTTCAAGACGAACTTACTCAATCGAGGAAGAAAGCCGTTGCACGCGCATGGGGAGAAAAAGGGTAGAAAGTCTAAGAAGCATTGAGAGTTGTGATGTTAATGTAGAGTTTAGTTAATGTGGATGTTTTTTTTGAAGTTTAGGAAAATGTAGATGTTGAATGAATTTTACTGAATGTAGATGCTGATTGAAGTTTAGGAAACTGTTGAAATTACAATGAAGTTATGAATGAAGCATTATTCAGTGATGTTATCTTTTCTCTATATTATGTTTAATGTGTCGACAAGGAAGAAGTTATGAATGATCATATAACGAAAAATGGTTGAAAATGGACCTTATTCACCCTGCCAGCAGGCTTTTTCACGGCCTCAATAATTCATTTTCACGGCCGTGAGATGGTAATTTCTCAGTGTCTCTGATGCAGGATGAATCTTTCACGCCCGTGAGACTGGGATGTGAGATGGGATTTCTATGACACCTTAATGATGGGAATCTCACGCCCGTGAGACTGCGCCGTGAGAATCAACAAATCATTCCCTAATGTCCAGAGAACCTCACGGTCTTGAAAGAACAATCTCACACCCGTGAGATTGTGGGCTGCTGTGAGTTAGTGAAAAAAAACGTCATTTGGAAGGTTCGAACCCGAGCACTTGGCATAATAATTCAGCTCATTAACCAGTCAGACTACTTAACATATTTTGTAAAATTGATTGTCCGTTTCCCTTTTAGTACATATGGTTGAATGAGCGTTTGATTATCGGTTTTTGGTTCAACCCATGTAATTGTAAACCGATGTGAGATTGAGGTTAGGTATATGGTTGAATGAGCGTTTGATTATCGGTTTTGGGTTCAACCGATGTAATTGTAAACCGATGTGAGATTGATGTTAGGTATATGGTTGAATGAGCGTTTGGTTATCAGTTTTGGGTTGAACCCATGTAATTGTGAACCGATGTGAGATTGATGTTAGGTATATGGTTGAATGAGTGTTTGATTATCGGTTTTGGGTTCAACCCCTGTAATTGTAAACCGATGTGAGATTGATGTTAGGTATATGGTTGAATGAGCGTTTGGTTATCGGTTTTGGGTTGAACCCATGTAATTGTGGCCCGATGTGAGATTGATGTTAGGTATATGGTTGAATGAGTGTTTGATTATCGGTTTTGGGTTCAACCCCTCTAATTGTAAACCGATGTGAGATTGATGTTAGGTATATGGTTGAATGAGCGTTTGGTTATCGGTTTTGGGTTGAACCCATGTAATTGTGGCCCGATGTGAGATTGATGTTAGGTATATGGTTGAATGAGTGTTTGATTATCGGTTTTGGGTTCAACCCCTCTAATTGTAAACCGATGTGAGATTGAGGTTAGGTATATGGTTGATTGAGCGTTTGGTTATTGGTTTTGGGTTGAACCCATGTAATTGTGGCCCGATGTGAGATTGATGTTAGGTATATGGTTGAATGAGTGTTTGATTATCGGTTTTGGGTTCAACCCCTGTAATTGTAAACCGATGTGAGATTGATGTTAGGTATATGGTTGAATGAGCGTTTGGTTATCAGTTTTGGGTTGAACCCATGTAATTGTGGCCCGATGTGAGATTGATGTTAGGTATATGGTTGAATGAGTGTTTGATTATCGGTTTTGGGTTCAACCCCTGTAATTGTAAACCGATGTGAGATTGATGTTAGGTATATGGTTGAATGAGCGTTTGGTTATCAGTTTTGGGTTGAACCCATGTAATTGTGAACCGATGTGAGATTGAGGTTATGTATATGGTTGAATGAGTGTTTGATTATCGGTTTTGGGTTCAACCCCTGTAATTGTAAACCGATGTGAGATTGAGGTTAGGTATATGGTTGATTGAGCGTTTGGTTATCGGTTTTGGGTTGAACCCATGTAATTGTGGCCCGATGTGAGATTGGTTGATGATATATGGTTTAGTGAGTGTTTGATTACGGTTATTGGGTTGAACCCCATGTAATTGTAAACCGATGTGAGATTGAGGTTAGGTATATGGTTGAATGAGCGTTTGATTATAGGTTATTGGGTTGAACCCATGTAATTGTGAATCGATGTGAGATTGAGGTTATGTATATGGTTGAATGAGTGTTTGATTATCGGTTTTGGGTTCAACCCCTGTAATTGTGAACCGATGTGAGATTGAGGTTATGTATATGGTTGAATGAGCGTTTGATTATCGGTTTTGGGTTCAACCCCTGTAATTGTGAACCGATGTGAGATTGAGGTTAGGTATATGGTTGATTGAGCGTTTGGTTATCGGTTTTGGGTTGAACCCATGTAATTGTGACCCGATGTGAGATTGGTTGATGATATATGGTTTAGTGAGTGTTTGATTACGGTTTTTGGGTTGAACCCCATGTAATTGTGAACCGATGTGAGATTGGTTGATGATATATGGTTTAGTGAGCGTTTGATTACGGTTTTTGGGTTGAACTCCATGTAATTGTGAACCGATGTGAGATTGGTTGGTGATATATGGTTGAATGAGTGTTTGATTATCGGTTTTGGGTTCAACCCCTGTAATTGTAAACCGATGTGAGATTGAGATTAGATATATGGTTGAATGAGCGTTTGGTTATCAGTTTTGGGTTGAACCCCTGTAATTGTGAACCGATGTGAGATTGGTTGATGATATATGGTTTAGTGAGTGTTTGATTACGGCTATTGGGTTCAACCCATGTAATTGTAAACCGATGATTTTTTGGGTCGGTCATAATGAAGAAATTCCTAGATCCTAAACCCTCACTGTCGTGATGCCATTTCTTCCTTCTCCTCCTTCGTCGGCGCCAGAGGACTGATCCTCGGTTCCTCCCTGTCGACTTCTTCCTTCCTGCTTCCCTCCTTAGTCGGCTCTTATCCACCAATATTACGAAACCATCGATTTCTTCCTTCCTGCTTCCCTCCCTGTCGACTTCTTCCTTCCTGCTTCCTATCTCCCTTCCTTCGTCTTCCCTTCTCTACGCAACCATCGATTTTACATTCTCCCTTATTCGCCCATCCTTCGTCAGCCGCCGAAGACCCGCAGACCGCTCTCCATCACGCTCCGTCAAGTACGATAACCTCTTCTCCTGCTTTACCTGTGTGTTTTGCGCTTCTAGTAGCCTCAGATTTCGAGTTTGAGTCTTGCGAATTTAGGGTTCCACGGGGTTTTTTGGGAAATTGTTGGTTTTCGTCCAGATTTTTGCGGTTCTAGTTGCTTCATTTTCGATTTCTATTTGCACTCACGGGTTCTCTTGGGAAACTTATGGGTTTCGCCGGACTTTGGGTTCTTTTGAGAAATCAGGGACTTATGGGTTCTTCTTGGTATGGAGTACGGTTTAGGCTATGGTTTCTTTCATTTGTGAATGGTTGGTTTGTCGCAGAAGTGAAGGGGAAACTATGGTTGCTTAACTCGGTCTTGCCTCGTGTTTGTTTCAATTGATTCGGTCGGTTGTCGGTGGTGAATATGTGGATTTCAATTGTCTCTAAACTTCATTTTGTTGCTTGTTTTCAGTTGATCAACTATGGAAGGGTTGATGGATGATATGAGCACAGGCAAGGACACGGGAATTGACTTGAATGTTGGTTTAGATTGGGGAATGGATTATGGAGATGATACCGGTGGTGTTAGAGATAGTGACGATATGGAGGACAATGTCGACACCACCGATAGTGATTCTGAGGATGATAATAACACTAACTTTGGTGATGATGATAAAGAGAACATCTCAGATGAGCATTTGCACAGCTTCGAAACACAGCCACACAGCTCAGATGCACCTCTACACAAAGATGCTGCAAATCCAGCCATGGCTCCACCGTACTCGAGTATGTATGACTGGACCTTGCTTGATAAAGTCGGGAATGGTAAGCCATATTCTAAATGGGAGTCGGATGATGTTGTGGGTTATGAGTTTGAAACCCTTGTGGAGGCTGCCAAGTTCTATTCAACTTATGGTTGTGCCATGGGATTCAGCGTACGGAAGAACACTCACACATATTCAAAATATGGAGTTAAAAATATGCAGCGATGGGTTTGCTCACGCGAGGGGGAGCGTCAACCAGTGCACAATGACAAGGAGAACAGAAAGCGTGAACCTAGGCCTGTAACAAGGCTCCATTGTCCGGCAGCTTTCAAAGTCAGTTTTGTTGAGGCAACTAACCGATTCAAGGTGAAACAGTTTATACCAACACATTTTCATCACTTAGCTGGAGCACATGAAGTGCAGTTTTTGAGTTCTCATCGCAAGGTAGATGACGCAAGTAAGGTTCAGATTCGATCACTTAGGGCTGCTGGTATTCGCACCAATCAAATAATGGATTATCTAGTGAATTGTGCGAGAAGCTTTCAGAACTTGGGTTTCACTAAGACCGATGTCTACAATTTTGTTAGTGCGGATCGGAGGTCGGAGATCTTGGATAGTGATAGTGAAGCTGCACTTGCCTACTTACAAGCACGGGCAACTACCGATCCTCGTTTTTATTGTAGATATACAGTAAGTGATGGTGGTGAACTAGGCAATATGTTATGGGCTGACTCTTCTTCACAATTGGATTATAGTCTCTTTGGAGATGTTCTTGTTTTTGACTCGACGTACAAAACTAATGCATATAATCTTCCATTTCTTCTATTCATTGGTGTGAATAATCACAATGCAAGCACTGTTTTTGCATGTGCTTTACTTGCGGATGAAACGGCGGAGAACTATGTATGGATTCTAAATGCTTTTTTACATTGCATGGGTGGTAAGAAGCCAACCGCAGTTATAACAGATGGTTGTTCTTCAATGAGGAAAGCTATCAAGTCGATTCTCCCTGGATCCCGACATCGGTTATGTTCTTGGCACTTGGGCAATAACGCAGAAGCGCGTGGCCATGCGGAAGGCTTCCGGGAGGATTTCAAACGATGCATGCTAAACTGCAGTTCTATTCCACAATTTGAAGCTACGTGGAAGGAAATTTTGTCCAAGTATGACCTGGAGCACAATGCGTGGATGAAGAAGATGTATAGGCGACTCTATGGGCCACAACTTACTTGAAAGGTATTTTCTTTGCTGGGATGACTACGTCACAACGTTGTGAGAGCATGAACTCTTATCTAGACAAATTCTTGCAAAGTAAGATGAAGTTGTTTGAGTTTGTCAAGCAGTTTGACATGGCACTTTTGTATAGGAGACAAACTGAGTTACATGACCAGTTTAAGACAATACATACTGATGTTGTTTTGATGACACATTTACATGAAATTGAAAGACATGCCTCTATAGTATATACAAGAAATGTGTTCAGGAGCGTTCGAGCAGAAATAGCGAGAGAAGTTCATTACTATATTACAAACAAGTGTGTGTTGACCAATAAAACAATTTACACATTGTCACGATTCAAATACCCTGACTCAAAGTGCACTGTGGTCTTTTACACGAGTGGACATGATGTGCATTGTTCTTGTGGCATTTTTGAGTTCTGCGGAATTCCATGTCGGCATATATTCTGTATATTGAAAGCAGAAAATCAAATACAAATTCCAAAGTCACTCATTTTGAAGCGTTGGACTAAAGATGCAAAAGAGTTCGATCCCTCGAGTATGGGAAGCTGTCCTACCCAGCAAAATATTAGCAGGTATTATAAATTTAAGCTGTTGATTTAGTTCTTTGTTTACTTCTATTGTGCTAGGAACCAACTACAAAATTGCTTGTTTATTTGGACAGGTTTGGATTCTTGGTTGGTCAATGTAGTAGAATGTGCCATTATGCTGTGATTTCGGATGAAGCATTTCATACTGCCAAAGGGTTGATTGAAGACTTGACCTTGCGAGTGAAGACAATAAGTGAAGAAACAACCAACAAAACAAATAATGCTACTACGGATGCTGGAGTGAACTCCTCTCAGTTTATTAAGGACCCCCATCCAGTTCGAAGTAAAGGGAATGTGAAGCAACCTCAAGTGAAAACATGGTTGTGCAAGTATTGTAGGCGTCCTAAACATACAATCAGAAATTGTCCGCTGAAAAGAATGGCTGAAGCAGGTGCAGGTGATAGTCATTTCACGCAACAAGAATACAACTTCGAGTCCATAGGAGCAGGTGAAAGCAGCTTTCATGTGGAGACTCAAGAATCTGTTCTACTTCCCAAACGATCCAAGCACAACCTGTAATGCTAGTGTTCGGCTTCAAACAACATTATGTTTCATCTTGTCATGTTTGTTTTGTGCAAGTTAGTATCTAGTGACATTGAATGGATCTATGTAATGCTTGTGTCTAGCTTCAAAGAACATTATGACTCATCTTTTCATAAGCTTGTAGTTTTCAAAAACAGTATATTATGTTTCTTACACTATTATAATAAGTACAGGGGTTAGTTCTACATGTGAATGTCTGTGCAGGCCAATTCCGGAAATCTCACGGCCGTGAAAGCATGCGTGGTTTTTGGATTTGAAATTCTGGAAATATCACGGCCGTGAGAGAAACCGTGAGAGAGGCCGTGAGATGATGACAGCTGAAACCCAAAAACACGCCTCATAACTGAAACCTCACGGCCGGGAGATATGCCGTTAGATTTTTTTTTTAAATTTGTAACTTCCAGGGGGTTTCACGGGTTATATCCCGCCCGGGACAAAAAGCCGTGAGATTGAACCCAAAAATTGGAAACACCCTATTTAAACCTTCCTCTATTCTACTTGAACCCTAAAATTGGAAACAACCCTCCGTTCTACTTCGACCCCCAACCCTCTTTCACTTCCTACTTCGTTTTCTCCCCAACTCTGCAAATCCTCCCCGCTCCGACTCCGTTTCGCCGGCCGCCATGAGCAAGGGACCAGGTCTCTACTCTGACTTCGGCAAGAAGGCCAAAGGTAAACGAAGATAGATCTCCCCTTTACACCTTCCTCTCTCTCTCTCTCTCTCTCTCTCTCTCTCTCTCTCTCTCTCTCTTGCTCTCGCGGTTTGCTGCGGCGCCGATGTTTCGTTTGATTCCCTCTTTGTTTGCAGATTTGCTCACCAGGGATTACCTATCCGACCAAAAGATTTCCATCTGTAGTTTCACCGATTCTGGAGTGGTCAGTTCCTTATCATCCCTTCCCCACTCATTCTGCTCAACTCTTTATGATTTGCTTAAGCCCTGCGATTGGATCTGAGATTTTTCGCATTTCATTCGGTTTGAATGCTCTGAGCTACGCCATGAGAGCTGAAGCTGGCCATGAGAGTTGTTGCTGCTTTCTATTATCTCCAGCAATTGGTTTGTGTAGAGCATACCCTAGGATTTTATTGTTCTAGGAGGTCCACTGTGTGTAGTTTGATTCATTTTTTCAAAGCCATACTTGGTTAGCAGTTTACATTTTCGGATTAACAGTTTTTCTTGGCCATTTCAGGCTGTTACCTCGAATGTTGTTGAGAAAGGAGGCCTTTCGTCTGGGGATGTGGCAGTTGAATACAAGCATAAGAATGCTACTGTTGGATTCAAAGTTGATACTGAGTCTAATCTAGGTGCTCTGCCCTGTTTTCATTGTTATTCCCTTAATTCACACCTCTGGTATATCTAATGTTGTTCCTTGTTGTTGTCTCTACAGTTGGAAGTCCAACATTTCCATCATCATGCTGGTGCAGTGTCTAATGTTGTTTTTACTTCTCATCACCTTATGAATGAAGAGCTTATTGTAACATCATCAAAAGGGTTCAATTTGTAACCTAAGTGAGCATTGACATGGTTCTGACTGATCATGATGGTGTAGACGTGATTAAAATGCTCCTGGGATCTTCTACCTTGACGTCACATTGAGTATTCCACCTCATCGATCTCTAAGGAAGGAAGCAAGGAGAACAAACTTTCCTAGCTCGATACAATCCTTGGACAAGGAATGCAGCAAAGAGATGGAGATCGAAATACATAGAGTGATTGAAATACAGAGAGATCGAAATACATATAGAGAAGTTTTGAGTGGGAGGGATGCAAAACCCTTGACCAAGGTTGCATCTAGCTTGGAAAGTTTGATCTGTCCGGTATCACCCCAACTCCAAGGGGAGTTACAAAAGTGAAGATCGAAGAGGATGGAATACTCAAAGAGACGTCAAGGGAGAAGTCTGTAAGTCTATATCTTCCAGTATCTTTTCATAAGCTTGTAGTTTTCACAAACAGTATATTATGTTACTTACACCATTATAATAATTATTATCATGGTATAGGCACATCATCGAAAGCATTATTAAAGGGTGTTGAAACCTGGAATTATCTTGGTTTGGTGATAGCCTAGAATTTGACTGATTGTTGCGTTTGTGTGATTTGTATAAGCCTTGGTGGTGCTTAATGGTAGTGATTTGATCTTTGTGGATGATGCTCTCGTAGTCCATGCGCATGTCTCTATAGTTAAGTCCTGCCTCACCAATTCATTCACCCAACTCCCTCTCTCCTCTTAACTCAAACAGAGATGGTCTTTGTTGATTTACTAGTTGGGATGCTTGCAGGGACCAGCAACACCGGATTCTGGTTATGACACTGATTATGACGACCAGGAGCAAGACTCGTCGTGGGATGCTGACACTCATCAGGACGAAGACACATCATCGGATTCTGATTACTACAACCAGGAAGGAGACTCCTTCTCGTTGTCGTCGGGTGCTGACACTGATCAGGAAGAAGACGCATTGGATGATGATGATGATGATGACGATGAGTCCGATCATATTGAGCCTGATGACCAACCCAACGGAGCCTCGATCGAGAAATTGGCAAATCATGTGTTATATATGTATGTTCAATTTTTTTTCCTACAAATCAATTGCAATGTACTCCATAACTCTAATGATCAAATATTGATCTTCTCTTCAATTGTGGGTGGCTAGATGGATATATCTAGTTATTGTTGTTTTTTGTTCTAAGATGGAAACCTCACGGCTTGTAATTAAATTGTCACGGCCGAGAGAATAAGCCGTGATATGGAAACCATTCTCAATTTCTCACGCCCCATAACCCAAATCTCACGGTTTTTGAGTTGGCTCATCTTTAAATATCACGGGCGTGAGATTAACCCGTGTTATGGTCACAGCTGAAACTCAAAAACACGCCTCACATATGAAAATCTCACGGCCGGGAGATGGACCGTTAGATTTTTTTAAAAAAGGGGGAGTTCCAGGGGGTTTCACGGGTTGGTCTCGCCAGTATCACGGCCGTGAGATGAGCCGTGTTTGTGTAATTGAAATGCTGAACTTCTCACGGCTCATCTGTTAATCTCACGGGCGTGAGATTAACCCGTGAGATGGTCACAGTTGAAACCCAAAACCACGCCTCATAACTGGAACCTCACGGCCGGTAGATATACCGTTAGAATTTTTTTAAAAAAATTGTAACGGACAGGGGGTTTCACGGGTTATATCCCGCCTGGGAGAAAAACCGTGAGATGGAACCCTCAAATTGGAAACACCCTGATTTAAATTCCTCTTTTCTACTTGAACCCGACCCCCAACCCTCTGTTCTACTTCGACCCCGAACCCTCGCCATCGCACTTCGACCCCCAACCCTCTTCTCCCCCGACCCCCAACCCTCTACTCCCTCTGTTCTCACTCGCTCGCCATCGCACTTCGACCCTCCGAGCCTCGCCCTCACTCGCTCGCCATCGCCCTCGATCGGTCGCACTCGCTCGCTCGCCCTCGAAGATTCTTCCGCCGCCGACCACTTCCCCACGACTCCTCTGGTAACTGCTCCAAGGTTCAGCGGCGACGGCGACCATTTCCCCACGAGTCTCTGCCCTCTGTTCCACTTCGTGAGTTCTTCTTAACCACAGCGGCAATCTTCTCTGGTTTCTTGCATTTTTTAGGGTTTAGTTGCCCAAGGTTGGTCTGAATTAGGGTTTTGAATTTCTAATTGTGATTAGAATGCTCCTGGTTGGTCTGAATTAGGGTTTTGAATTCCTAATTGTGATTAGAATGCTCCTGGGATTAGAATGCTCCTGGTTTGTTGCATTTTTTTAGGGTGTAGACGTCTCTTTGTGAATTGCATATGTTTATGCATAATTCTTTTCCCTCTCATTCACTAAAGACTTAATGTGCTTAGTTGGTTTTTGTAGGAATGGGGAAAGCTAAAGAAAAAACCACGCAACCATCAGCCTCACCTGCTAAAGTGAAGGCTCCTTCTCGTCGTCGCCGCCAAACCCAAGAACGAGACACTCCCCCCAAACGACAACGCAAAAACAACCAAGGACGAGCACGTCAACCATCTCCACCACCACAAACGGAGGCTCAACTTGGATGAGGGGGACTTCACGGCTTCCTCCAATTACCCGACAAACATAGGAGGGCTTTAGAGCGCTTCCTTCCCCTCCCATTTGGGCAGCAAAGATGCATTGATTGGGATCTCCTAGAGCGCTTCGGAGCAGCGGACCCCGTTCGCACATGCCTCCGTCTCCCGGCATGGTGTGAGGTTCTCTCCATCAATGAGGTCATCTACCGAGAGCTTACCATTGAGTTCCTCAGCACTCTCTCCATCAAGTTTATGTGCGAATTTCACCTCGACAAGCCCGAAGATAACATAACTTTTCGCCTTGGAGGACAGGCGAGACAGATGAGCATCACTGAGTTCACAGAGGCACTCCAGATATACCCACCAGGATTTCTCACTACAGGTCATGGTTTGATTTCAGAGAAAGTATATTCACCAAGAGCACAATTGGTCGATGCTATGTGGAAAAGGGTAAAACAAAACCATGTGGACAAGTCTGACACTGCCCACTATAAAGGGAATGATCTTCTTCCCCCATGGCGTATCATCCACAACATTATCGCTCATTCTGTGGCAGCTAGGGAGGGGAGCCCGGGGAGTGTGACCAAGCGGGATTTGAACTTTTTCCTCTCTATGGTAAAAGATCCCCCAATTCATCTTGGTTTAGTCATACTGAAAACCCTACAGAAGATGACCTCCAACAAACAAATCAAGACCATCCATGGAGGTGCCTACATCACAAGGCTAGCTCGGCATTTTGGCATTGATCCGGTGGGTTCTCATTGCACCATTGCCCAGTCCACTCAACCAATCTCCCAAAAAAACCTTGCGGATCTATATTTGTTGTCAAAGGTAAATGTTCCAACCAACACTCTCCTTTTCACAGTGAATGCTAAAACTGAACTAGTCGGGATTCAAACAATCTAGGATTGATTTTGTGCAAGTTTTGGATAGCCTGCTAATCTAGTTCCTTTTGAACATTGAGCAAATGTAACTAATGCTTCTGATATTGATCATGTCTGTGTTTGGTGGTTAAGGAGAATGGTGTGTTAGGCATTGTTGGCCTCCCTCATCCTGCTCCACCTCTTGCAACAGATGAGGCAAACGCATCGGAGCATGTTGTTCAGCAAATGGTCGAGGAGTCTCCGCAACAACCTGCACAACATCACCAAACTACGACTCAAGCCGGACCATCCACCGACAGATACATTTCCCATTTTTAGGCATTGGGTCGGCAGAATGCCCAAATTCTCGAGCAAAATGCACTCATTCTCTCCCGCCTCGATCGAGAAAAGGAAGCTCGACGCTACATCATCAAATGCAACCATCACATCATGAGGTCCTTGAGGATTGACTACAAAAAATTCTCAACACCTTGGGAACTATCTCCTAGGCCAACCGAGGAAAGCAATGAAGAGGGAAGTGAAGAGGACGACGGGGGCAACGGCGATGAACAAAATAAGAAAACAAATCAAGAGGACAAAGGGACCAATGAGGAAGAGGGCAGTGAAGAGGAAGACGAGGGCAATGGCGATGATCAAAACAAGGAAAGAAATCAAGAGGACAAAGGGACCAATGAGGAAAAGGGCAGTGAAGAGGAGGACGACGAGGGCAATGGCAATGAACAAAACAAGGAAAGAAATCAAGAGGACAAAGGGACCAATGAGGAAAAGGGCAGTGAAGAGGACGACGACGAGGCCAATGGCGATGATCAAAACAAGGAAAGAAATCAAGAGGACAAAGGGACCAATGAGGAAAAGGGCAGTGAAGAGGAGGACGATGAGGGCAATGGCAATGATCAAAACAAGGAAAGAAATCAAGAGGATAAAGGGACCAATGAGGAAAAGGGCAGTGAAGAGGAGGACGACGAGGGAAATGGCAATGAACAAAACAAGGAAAGAACTCAAGATGACAAAGGGACCAATGAGGAAGAGGGCAGTGACTCTAGCGAGGACAATGAAGATGAGCAAATCCATCAAAACGAAGACGAGGACGAGAGCACTGACGAGGAAGATGGGCAGTGAAGATGAGCCAACAAAAGTCCTTAGTACTTAGCTATGTGTGTTTGCGTTTGTGCTTGTATGTTTTCCAATTAGACTATGATGATGCACTAGTGTGGGCTACATGCAGCTAAACTTGAGCATTAATTAGACAGATTTAATCGTGTTATGGATGCTTGTTTTATTAGACAAATGTAATGCTTTGACTGCGTTTTACTTTTTGTTAACAGGGTATCTCATCTGATATGATGTACAGTTACTAGAGAACATTGTGAATGGATCTATGTAATGCTCGTGTCAAGGTTTAGAGAACATTATGAATCATCTTTTTCATAAGTTTGAAGTTCTGGAAAAAAGTCCATTCTGTTTGAAACACCATTATAATAAGTACACGGGATAGTTCAACAGGTGAAGGTCTCCTACTGGAAATCTGACACCTTATACTGGTAATCTCACGACCGTAAAATACTCAAGTGAGATGTAAAAAGCAGTGCTTCATTCCTCAGGCAAATATCACGGCCGTGCGATGTCCCGTGAAATGCAAAGAGCAGTTCTCACTATCCCAGGAAATTTCACGGCTACTACTTGACATTGTCACGCCCGTCAAAATCTCACATTCTAGAGTTGTACCTTTACACTAAATTTAAAGTTGTACCTACACTTTCTAATAAATCCCTTTATGGTACAACCCAAACTTGTACCTATACTAATGGTACAACTTTAATTTGTACCTACACTTTCTAAAAATCCTTCTATGGTACAACCCGAACTTGTACCTATACCATGGTACAACTTTAAGTTGTACCTACACTTTCTAATAAATCCCTTTATGGTACAACCCAAACTTGTACCTATACTAATGGTACAACTTTAATTTGTACCTACACTTTCTAAAAATCCTTCTATGGTACAACCCAAACTTGTACCTATACTATGGTACAACTTTAAGTTGTACCTACACTTTCTAATAAATCCCTTTATGGTACAACCCAAAATTGTACCTATACTAATGGTACAACCTTAAGTTGTACCTACACTTTCTCCAAATCCTGCTATGGTACAACCCAAACTTGTACCTATACCATGGTACAACTTTAAGTTGTACCTACACTTTCTAACAAATCCCTTTATGGTACAACCTTAAGTTGTACCTATACTAATGGTACAACCTTAAGTTGTACCTACACTTTCTCCAAATCCTGCTATGGTACAACCCAAACTTGTACCTATACCATGGTACAACTTTAAGTTGTACCTACACTTTCTAACAAATCCCTTTATGGTACAACTAAAAATTGTACCTATACTAATGGTACAACCTTAAGTTGTACCTACACTTTCTCAAAATTCTTTTATGGTACAACTAAAAATTGTACCTATACTAATGTTACAACCTTAAGTTGTACCTACACTTTCTCAAAATTCTTTTATGGTACAACCCAAACTTGTACCTATACCATGGTACAACTTTAAGTTGTACCTACACTTTCTAACAAATCCCTTTATGGTATAACTAAAAATTGTACCTATACTAATGGTACAACCTTAAGTTGTACCTACGCTTTCTCAAAATTCTTTTATGGTACAACCCAAACTTGTACCTATACCATGGTACAACTTTAAGTTGTACCTACACTTTCTAACAAATCCTTTTATGGTACAACTAAAAATTGTACCTATACTAATGGTACAACTTTAAATTGTACCTACACTTTCTAATAAATCTCTTTATGGTACAACTCAAAATTGTACCTATACTAATGGTACAACCTTAAGTTGTACATACACTTACTCAAAATCCTTCTATGGTACAACCTAAACTTGTACCTATACTATGGTACAACTTTAAGTTGTACCTACACTTCCTAAAAATCTTTCTATGGTACAACCCAAACTTGTACCTATACCATGGTACAACTTTAAGTTGTACCTACACTTTCTAACAAATCCCTTTATGGTACAACTCAAAATTGTACCTATACTAATGGTACAACCTTAAGTTGTACCTACACTTTTTCAAAATTCTTTTATGGTACAACCCGAACTTGTACCTATACCATGGTACAACTTTAAGCTGTACCTACACTTTCTAACAAATCCCTTTATGGTACAACTAAAAATTGTACCTATACTAATGGTACAACTTTAAGTTGTACCTACACTTTGTGAAACAAATTCTTCAATGGTACAGCTGAAACTTGTACCTTACTATATGGTACAACTCTAATTTGTACCTACACTTGTATACATTGATTCATTATTTACAAGATTGCCATTAATGATGTGGGACCAGTCATTTAGTGGGTTACCTCCTCAACAGGTCACCTTTTTTTTTGTTTTTTATAGCATGGGTGCTATAGAGCACACTAGAAGGGCTCGTGGAAGGAATGGTATAATGATTGATGAACAAAACATCAGTAAATTAATGATTCATTCACAAATTAGATGCGGTACGAGGCGCTCCACTCACCAAGTCCCACGACACGTCCCCAGTTCATATTTAACATCTTTAATGGAGAGTTAATTAATTAATTAATTTTAATAATATCCACGACTGAAAGTGAATGACCTCATGTCAACCCACCAGACCAGTGCCAACTCAACTATTCTGCAATCGTATCTGACTGCTGCCTTCTGCAACCAACCCAGCTAATAGACAACTGCCACGTCGCCTTCAGGTTCTTTTTTTTTTCCCTGGCTTCTCCCAAAGTTGACCACCATGGAAAATGGAAAGTGCATCCCAGAACCTGACTAAATCCGAAGAAGAACCCCAATTCTGTATTTCCCATCCAATCCAGCTAGCAAGTCACTGGTTTCATGTGGCCCAATTTATTACGCGATTTTGATTGAACAACTTACTGCCTTCCCTTCCTGGAAGTCTCCTTCCTTATTAAGTCCAGTCTCCAGGCCCTCACATTAATATTCCTTTTCCTTTCGTCAACAATTCACGTTATACAACAAGTACTTTCGTATAGTCAACTTCCTTGTTTGTAACGTGTCAAACCCAGTTAGCCGTATTACTTGACTTCCAGTTCCCAGTTCCCGCGTCATTGTTATGAGAGGTCCTTGCAGTGGCGGCAGATCCAGAAATTTTATAAAGGGTTGTCCTCTTACAAAAATTAAATTTAATTAAATATGAAAATATCTCACTAGTAAAAATTACAATAAAAGTTCATACATATTTTTTATTACGGAAAAATGGTAAAATACATTATTACTAAGCATATCTCTCTCTATATATCCTGATAGACAAGGGTAGCCCGTAATTGAGTTAATCGTTAGAGTTTGAAAATAATTGAGGATAAAAAATAGTCTTTTATTATTATATTTGAATCTAATACATAACAACAGATGAGTTGTGGTCTAATTGAAAATATGTATACTAATAGTAGCATTGGCCCAAGTTCAAATTACATAGACTATTATTTAAATATTATTTTTACCCATACGCAACCTATTATAGGAGGCTGGATAATCCTTTTCCCAAATTTTAGGGGTGTCCGACTACCACTTAAATATTTTTTTACCCATTACGTAAACTACTATCAAAGGTTGGATAATCATGTTCCCAAATTTTAGGGGTGTCCCGAGGCACCCCCTAAACCTCCATGTATCCGCCACTGGGTCCTTGTATGAATCTATACTACCTCCTATCATATACTACCTCGTCAAACGAAAGTAAACTTATGTAGAGTTGAAGTTTTCCCGGATAGAATATACTATATGCTTAAATCAATGGTTAATATTGAGGAGCACGCGAATTTTTGAACACGGTTCCTAACGGCAAACCTGCTTTGGTACCATATTATAGACTAACCGGTTGGACTCAATAGTTCGAGTTGTTGGGAAAGCTCCATATATGGATCTATACCACATCCTAACAAACAATTAATTAACTTCATTTGATAAGTAGGTAAAAGTTATTCAAATTCAAAAAACTGAAGAATAAAACGAAGGAAGCTTTGGTACAAAGGAAATGAATGGTCTCGCCTTTTATCTAAATTCTAACCCTAGGCCACTAAGTTTGACAGAATTCCTTCCCTCCCCGCCGGCACCCTAAAAGAACGAACAAGTGATTATACATTTTCCCACGTTTTTCTACAGTAAAAACGTCAACCCTATATGTCCACATTGATGATGGAGGGCACGTCACATCTCACATGACGATGAAAAGAAAAGAAAAAGAGCAACCAATCTAAAAGACCACGTTGCATGCCTATCAATGACGTAGCATCCAAGTAAGAACAAAAGAACAAAAAAAAAACATTCAAAGATTCCTGGCTGTTGTTTCCGTGTTGTCGTTACTATTGTTGTTGCTGGTTGCCGCCGCCGCCGCTCATGATGGAGGAGATAGCCGCCGCAAGAGCCGCCGTGAAGTTGGGATCCGAGGTGATGGCACTCACCGACTGATCCACCATCATTGAGCCCTGCTGCCTCGCCACCGGCGATGCGACACGTGGCGGCAGCTGATGCTGATGGTGCAACTGCTGTAGCAGTTGTGACGGTGAATTCGCGACCTCGTGTGACAACTGAACCCCCGAGAATTTCGTCTGGTTGTTGTACATCCCAAACGTCTCCCGCTGCCGTTGCAATTGCACCGGCGTATTATTATCATTATTATTATTATTCGGTGGTGACGTATGGGTGAGGTCAAGCGTGACGGTGGGGAACGGAGCGGAGGCCGAAATCGACGCCATGCTGTTGCTGTGGACAGCGCCGTTGGGAATCATAGCCCTGGCGAGCAAGTTGTTCGGGTGGTTCGCCATCATCATCGTCATGGCGCCGTCAGCGCTCGACGTCGACCCGGAGAGCAGCATGGTGGCGGCGGCCGTGGTCGTGGACGCCATCGCCATCGCCGCCGGTGGGAGAGGGTGGTTGTGTCCTCCTTCGTAAGTGGTTATCAATATCGTCTTGTCCTCCGCGCAGCGTTGCACCTGTTTCCGTACCGGGCAGCCCGCCGCCATGGTGCAGCGGTAGTACGCCCGCGGGCAGGGGTTGCCCTTGGCCATCTTCTGCCCGTATTTCCGCCACTGACACCCATCCGATATCATCGGGGCCTCGGAGCGGGCCCGGACCGAGACGCGGGCTTTTCTCATGGCCGCCTCGGCGTTGTTGTTGTTGGGCTGCTGCTGCTGCTGTTGTTGTTGGGCCGTGGAGTTACTACGAGGAGGAGATAATTTCTGGGCTTTGTTGGTTGCCGATTCCGGACTCTCTCCCCTGCCGCCGCTAACCGACGGCCGCTTCCCGTTGCGCGGGGAGGATTCGGAGCCGGAGGATGAGTTGGATGTTTCTCCAGGTGGCATCAATGCCAAGTATTTCCTCGGAACCTGAACATTATTTTTAATTAGGTGAAAATTACTATTTTAAGGATCAAATTGTAGCTAGAAATTGTTTAAAAAGATGTTACGTAACGTACCACTTGTTGTTGGTTAGGGGTTTGATGCGTTAGTGAAGCAAGGTGGATTTGGAGGGAGGTGTAGTTGTTGCTGACTTGGCTAAGCATGTCCCTTAATCTCTGGTTTTCGACGTTCATCGTTCGTAGCTCAACTTGTAATTCAGCCTCGGGCTTGGACCGGCTGTCATCGTGGTCCGTCGTCCGATGATCCTGAGTCTGATCGTCCACCGTTGATTGGTCGCTCACCGTGTTCGCAGTGAGAAGATGCAATCCAGTCTATAATTAACCAAACACAAATATTAGTAATAAAAAAACTCTAACCGAAAAAAAAAAAGAAAAGAAAAAAAGAAAATTAATATTTCTTTGGGGACTTACATTTACTTGATCATCGTCGTCGTTGTGACTACTATCATCAGAAGGAGACGTGGTCTTGTTGTTGTGGTGGTGGTGGTGAGCGAAGAAGTCGACTTCGCCGGCGGCGTGGAGGCGGTCGGCGGCGGCGTGGTGGAGGGCTTCGACGTCTGGGAACTGGAACATCCTCATCATGGGATTTCCGGCGGACGGCGGAGGGAAGAAGGAGAAGGGAGTGGTGGTATAAGCTGCTGCGGCTGGGCGGAGAGGAGGGTCGGATTCAACGGCGAGACACCATCCTTTGTCCATATAAATCTTGGCCGGAGAGGGAGAAATTGAGAGAGGGAGAGTAAATGGGGAAGTTGGAGAGAGTCTAGAGGGAGACTAGAAATAGATGGAGGGAAAAGGGGAGAAAAAAAAAATAGTGTGGAAGACGTTCGTTCTTTCAGCGGGGAGAGGAGAGGTCGGCTATAAAAAAGGGCGGAGGGAGCGAAGACGAAGACCAAAATAAGATTAGATTTGTGAAGACTTTTTTACCGGGATTTTTTTCGAGTTTCGTCACACTGTGCGTCACGACCGCCAGCTGGCTACCTTGCTTGCCCTTTTTCCTTACTCTTTGGGGCGTTGAATTGGATCTTTCTTTCACGGAATGGTGACTGATTAAGACTTTGGTTATACTAACAAATCAGTCCACAAAACTTTGTTCTTTTCACTAGTATGTTAATTTTGTGCTCTTTATTTGCGTTGTTTGGATCTACAAGCAACTCTCGAGATGAATTTTTTTAAAATAATCGAATTATTAGAGTTCGACATTTTATTGTGTTTTTCAATTGGATACTTCATACGCGCGATTCATTCGTATCTCATCTCAGTTTCAAACCAAGTTAATTATTTGATTGGATGTTATTATTTTTCAATATAAGTGAGAACTTAGTGAATCATCAAAGTCCAGCCATAAAAGTTCAAAATAATTACCTGTATGCATTAAATTTAATGATCGCATTCATATTTCACCAATTACAGAGAGAGTTGTTAGAAAAGAATAGATCTATGTTTTTAAGCCACAACTGGAAGAGGCGGAGGAGGGTTTTCCCTACTTTTCTTCGTCAAGACGGTAGTAGTTGACTTGTTCATTCATCAGAATAATGGAAAACATAGCAAACAAGAGGAAAGATCAAAGAGTAGTGGCGATTTATTGATGGAAAATTAAATCAATAAAAAAAAATTCAATTCCACCGCCCCGATTGGTGCGGCGCATTCCACGTGAGGAAATTCAAAATATGCATAGAAAAGTAGGATAACAAAATGTCAAGCCAAACACTTAACATAACAATTTCCACCTTAATGAAGTCACTCTTCCCAAGTTGTTCTCCACAAGTAAGTAGTAACGATGATGGATGGAGGTATGGGCTGCTCTTGTGTTCCTATGTCTCCCATTATATAAAAATTTTATGCTTAACTTTATTAGTATGAATTGCAAAATTGTATCGAATTTAATATAATACCGCTAAATATTTAATATATGATAAAAAAACGATAACAAGGTAAAACAAAGATTCGCTTCTCAAACCCATACTGGATAGCTAAATGTTGAGCTGGATGTATAAAGACCTATAATCCTTAATTAAGAATCTCATGGCAAAGTTCATGAAGTATGATAACAAGGGGAACAAGAGTTTGGTTACCAGGCTTTAATCTGTAGGTTTCAAATTTTAATATTTCAAATAATATTTAACAGTAAAACCAAATTCATGTCACCCTTATAATCTTTTTTTGGAAAGTATGTTAAGAAAAATCATGCAATATAAAACAAAAGAAGTTGAAGCGTGGTAACAAAAAATCATGCAAACAAAAGTGAGCCGAAATTTCAGTAGTTTTTTTTTTCCATTAAAACAAAGAGTTGGTTATTTGGTCTCAATAATTTGAAATGTAGGAGTAGGATTTATAACAAATATTATATAATTCTTTTTACAAGTCTTTTTCACATGAAAGTCGACTAGCGTATTTGAAATTTGCAGAATCCCGATATACATTATGCTTTAATTTATTGTTTTTATTGAAGGTTGTGAAAATTATAAAATCAAATTATTTGTCATCATTACCAACTCTAATAACATGTCAAACCGTTTGGCCCCAACAATTTAAAAGAGATTCAAATATCATGTGTTTCTATTGCAATACGACCACCTATGCATATGACAAGCATATATTCTACAACATTATTGTTACAATTATTTTGTATTCACCCCAATTCATCTACCAAAATATCCAATAAATATAAATTTCTTTTTCTTCTCATGTAAGAGCGACGGTCCTCCCTAGTCCCTTCCGTCCGCCTTCCAATCAATAACACTTTTTCTGTTTTCTTTTCCCGCCTTTGTTGTTGTTCCGATGTGTCTGCCAATAGTCGTGAGGCAATTATTAAGTTGGCCCAGTTGGTCAACGAATTTGACGGCCGGGCAGAGACCGGACACCGAGTGGGGCAGAAAGCGAAGACTTACGTGGACAACATGCATGCACACGTTCACAACACTCAGATCTGCTCCCCCTTATAAACCTCTTTTCTCGTTGACTCTTTTCCGGTGGGGCCACCGACGGCCGACTGCCCGACTCTGTAATTCTTTTTTTTTTCTCTCGTAAAATATATATCCGATCATTCGTTAGGTTTCAGTGATTGTTTGATGGGATAGTTTCATAATTACAATGTATGTATTGTCCACAATGTATTGTTGAGTTATTTTTTCTTCCAACTATGTCTCTACTTTTTTATGTGTGTTACTTTTTAATATTAATAACAAAGGGTAAAATTAACATTTCACCCAAAAAGTAATATAACTTGTTTAAATACTATAATAACTATCATAGAAACCAAACAATGTAAACTACAATACACCAATTTTCTTATATACATGAATATTAATATACATGCATTGTTGCATTATTTTCTTTTAATGACAATACATTATTTCTGAACATAATGCATTCAGAAATATGTTCAACAATGCATTATTTCTGAACATAACATATATAAGATCATTATATCATCAAAATTACGCGAGCGCACCATTTTGCTCCGACTATATCATGTTGTCTTCCTCTTCACGACTTCTACTTCACCCGTTAATTACGCGACCCTCTTGCCCTTAAACAATACAAATATAACACACACGGAAATTTGGATATAGATGAGTAGATGTAGGTATCATATTTATGTTCACAATCTCTTCGATTCGTGATTAAACAATAGCTAGAATGAAAGATGGGTGGGTCAGTCCAGTGGCGAATCCATGAATTTTAAATAGGGGTGTCCTCTAAAAAAATTAAAACTTAAATAATTTTTAAATAAGAAATTATCCGATGAGTATTCAATAGAAAAAATACCGATAAGTACAAGTTACAACAATTGTCCACGACGAGTTTTCATATTCTGAAAAAATTGTAAAATACACTCTGTGTCTACATTGCACAACAAATCCCTTTCAATATACCCTACAAGACAATCATTCACGAACTGATCTCCCATTCGATTTCGAAGCTTGTTCTTGATGCAAACCAAAGCTGAAAAAGCTCTTTCAACACTTGCTGTTGCAACTGGTAAAATCAATACAACCTTGAGAAGCAAATAGATCCATGGATATGAAAGATTCACCTTTGTTTTTACCATCAATTGAACTAATTCATCAATTCCTTTTAACCCACGGAATAACTCATCATTCTTAACGCAATGATAGTAATTCTCAAAGTCCCGTAGAAGAAAAGAGACAGATAGGTGACCAAACTCTTTAGGATAAAATCGAGTAAGTCTTACCAGTTTCTCCTTGTCAAAAGCAGCAAACTCATTCTCTGGGCTAAGACAAACCATACAAGTCAACAATGTAGTGTTCACCTCATCAAAGCGATTGTTCAACTCTTGCAACTGCATATCAAGAACCGAGTAAAACAATTCCACCTGATAATGATGTAGGTTTGTGATCTGTGGAGCATTGCACCTTGACCTTCCTGGGTGAACATACTCATCATCCATATTGAGAACATTAATAGATGCCTTACTGCAAAACAAGACAACATCCTTAAGTAGAGACTCCCATCCTCGATCTCTCATCTCTTGTAATCTAGCCTTTCCTACAAGAACAAGTTTCATAGCATTTACAATGTCCTGATCTTTCCTTTGCAATGCTAGTGACAACTCATTCGTAATTGCTAACACTTCAATCATCAACTTCAAAACGAACACAAACCTGAAATCTTGAAGGATAATCAACATCCTCCATGCATCACTACCTGTTTTTGATTCTATAGACGGATCATCTTCAATTCTCTCCAATACATCAATAATAGTAGCGAACAAGCTCTCAAAATTGAGAATTGCCCCATAATAAGAACCCCAATGAGTATCACCTAGCCTTTTGAGACTCATTTCTTGATTCAATCCTTGACCAACCTCTCGTTCATTAGCAGCTATAGCATCTGCAAGCTTCTTAGTCTGGCTATCTCGAACCATGCAGCTCGTTTGCAAGATCCCCCAACCAAACTAGTCACATTATTAACTGTTGTGAAAAAGTCGCCAACTTCTTTGTGATTACTGGCTACTGCAACAAGTGCTAACTGAAGTTGATGAGCAAAGTAGTGAACATAATATGCAGAAGAATTCTCACCCAAAATCAAAGCCTTCAAACCATTAATCTCTCCTTTCATGTTGCTAGCTCCATCATAGCCTTGTCCCCTAATCATAGACATACTCAATCCATGTTTCAAAAGCATTGCTTCAATTTCCTTCTTCAATGTCAAAGCTTTAGTATTTGGCACATGAGAAGTACACAGAAATCTTTCCAAAACAACACCATCAGAATTCACATACCTTAGAACGATAGCCATCTGTTCTTTCATTGATATATCACGTGTCTCATCAACCAATATACAGAAAAAATCATTACCAATATCTGCAATAATTCTCTTAGTAGTTTCACAAGCCATGGCATGAACAAGATCTCTTTGAATCATTGGAGAGGTAAGCTGAAGGTTTCCTGGAGCATTCTTCCCAATCACTCTTTGCACATCTTCTCTATCAAGAGCATGAAAATCTAATAGCTGAAGAAAGTTACCTCTGTTCGTTGAAGTTGCAGATTCTTTATGCCCTCGAAATGACAATCCACTCACTACTAGCCACCTAATGCAATTAAGTGAAGCGACCAAACGAATTCGATAGTCTCTTTTGGCTTGATCTGATTGTATGCATAATGCAACTTGAATGCATGTTGCTTGCTTCAGTAAAAGATCAGAACTGTTTTTAGCTCTATTGTGGTAACTCTTATGCGCACCAACATGATCAGCAAAAGCTTTCAATTTATTCCATGTTTTAAAACCTTCACCAATAAAGCCATCATCACTTGCACCTCTCTTGCTGAACACACAGCAGTATAGACAATAAGCAGCATCTTTTGAAACACTGTACTCAAGCCAATTATACTTTTTAAACCAAGACTCTTGGAATTTACGCTTCTTTCCACTGAAATTTATGCAGGGAAAATCATGACCCTTTGGTTGAATATGACCCTTTTGAAGATAATATCTTCTAACCTCATCACGGATATTGGGATGAAAACTAGACATTTTAGATCTTAATCCCGGATCTAGTGGCAAAGAGTTTACATCAAAGTCCCTATCCAACTTTGTTGAAGAAGACTCACTTTTCTCTAGAGAGTGATTCACTGAACTTGAAAGATTTGGTTCTTGTGTTTGAGTAGCTCCCACTGCCTGTGAGGGAGGAAAGGTTTGAGCTTGTCTACTTCCACTAGCTTCAACACCTTCAGTTTGACCATTTGGACTACTAAGGACCTTTCTTGTGTAATATCTTTCCATTTGTTTGTACCTAATTCAGAGACAACAATAAAAGCAACTAAGGAATGAATAAAGAGCATATTTTTGTAACAAAACACCCTGCCGCAGCATCCAAACTTCTCCTCCTCTCGGCTCTCACCCAAACAAGAACAAAGGCAAGTAGGCAACGAAGACTGCAACATATGACTACCAAATAAGAACAGGACCCCACCCAATTGAAATTCACAGACAACGTTTAAAATTTTGAAACAAGAAAACTTGGAAACCTACCTGTGTTATGCGAACAGTGGCTGCTGCGGAGTCGAAGGAGGAGGTTGGATTCGAAGGAGGAGGTCGGAGTCGGAGATTCGTCGGCAAACAACTGGTCTGCCGTCGCCGTTGCCTGTTGGAGCCTTGGAGGAGCAGCCGAGCAGATGCTCGAGTGGCGCTGGCCGCTGGGAGCTGGTTTCGGGAGTGCGGCTGTGCGGGGGCGGTGAAAAGTCGTAATCAAAAGGGGATTTCGTTCGTCTCGGCTGATGTAGGGGTGTCCCGATATAGTTAATTAATTTTTAGCTGTCCTGCCAATTTAAGTTTGGATTAATAAATATGTGTCTAAATAATGACAAGAAGTCGGGCATAGTGGACAACATTGATATTAATAATTACCGTGTCCCGAGTTCGAATCCCACTAGCTACATGTGTATTTTTATTTCGCCATACAGATTCTACTACCGGGGGATCGATAATTATTTTCCCAAATTTTAGGGGTGTCCCGGGACACCCCTATACCTCCATAAATCCGCCCCTGGGTCAGTCTATAAATTTATTTGAATCCACTGAATTATAGTACTCACACAATAACACATGTTTGGGTGAATAAGGTGGTCATGGGCCTGCAAAACCATCCAGTATATTGAGAAGTTGGAGCAGTGATGGAAGAATTTGGGATGCTATTACCGTAATATAGCTTCAAACTAGTAATGCGTTGGGGATGTGCATAGACTTGGAGAGAGTATTGGCGACCCGACCAATTCGAGGTTTCGTTCAATTGGCATGATCATCGGGTATAGAAGATTATTGAGGAAGAGGCCGGAAAGGGAAGAAAGGTTGAAATGATTCTGACTATAGAAGTCGATTTGAATGAAGTTGCTGATCAGAGAAATTTCTTCAGAGGAGGAGGATTATCGACTGAAAAATTTATAGAATCGGGAAAGAAATTGTATCTTGTTTTGGTGGGAGCAAGGAAAGATAAGGGAAAGTGTAACGTCCCAGAGCTGTGGATCGGTATCTCGACGAGTGTTTGGGTTGTGTGATTTCTAAGAATGACTGAGAAATTGCAGGAGAGAAGAGGGAATTGAGTCTCTGGAACAGCTGGAGATCAGAGAGTAAAGTAAGAGAGAGAGAAAGAAGGGAAGAGAGAGATAGAGAGAGAAAGGGGAGGGAAAATTTGTTATTTCATTCTTAGCCGTTCTCACCTCAGACGCGTAGCTACATATAACCCGTCTGGCTTATTACATTTTAGTCCTCATATTTGTAATCTGTAACAAGAATTGAAACTCTATCTTTACAATTGTTACAACTCCCTCCTTCTTCGAAACAGTCTTGTCCCAAGACTGCAAATTGTTCACAGCTTGAATTCTGGAAATTTAGCCTTAAAATCTTCGAGATATTCCCATGAAGCATCCTCCTCGCATTGATGAGTCCACTGGATGAGAAGTTGAGTGGCAGGCCTATTCTTCAACGCCACAACCCTCCTAGCCAGAATGGCTAAAGGTTCCACCTTCAATTCACCTGCAGAATCAAATTCAGGAAGGGTAGGTTGAGTTGTGATCTGTACACCAGCAGCCTTCTTCAGCAACGAGACGTGAAACACCGGGTGAATGACTGCTTCAGCTGGCAATTGCAGTCTATAAGCCACCGTTCCCACCTTCTTCAGTATCTTGAAAGGACCATAGAATTTTGGAGAGAGCTTCTGATTAATTCTAGTAGTGACTGAAGTCTGCCTGTAGGGTCTCAATTTTAAGTAAACCATATCACCCTGCTGGAAGTGTCTCTCTGTTCTGTGTTTATCTGCCATTTGCTTCTGTCGATTCTGAGCCATGGCCAAGTTATGACGGAGGAGTCCCACCACTCTTTGCTGCTGAGTTAATCGATCCGCTACAGCTGCCACAGCCGTTGACAAGGGATTCTGAATGGCAAAATGAGATGGTGGATAGCCATACAAAGCTTCAAAGGGAGTGAGTCTCAAGCTGCTGTGGAAGTTGGTGTTATACCACCATTCGGCAAGTGACAACCAAGAAGTCCACTGGTGAGGCGTCTGATGAATCATGCTGCGAAGATAATCCTTTAGGCATCGGTTAAGTCGTTCTGTCTGGCCATCCGATTGGGGATGATAGGCTGTAGAATAGTGTAACCTGACCTGCTGCAGCTCAAATAAGGTGGACCAGAACTGACTTGTAAAAATAGAATCTCGATCACTAACAATAGTAGCTGGCATCCCATGGAGCTTGAATACCCCATCAAAGAACAACTGTGCCACAGAAGCTGCTGAATATGGTTTGGAAAGACTGAAGAAATGAGAATATTTGGTAAATCTGTCAACCACCACCAGTATAGCTTCCTTACCATTAGATTTAGGTAATCCTTCAATGAAATCCATAGACAAATGCTGCCATGCCCCCTCTGGAATGGGTAAAGGCTGCAACAGACCTGGATAAGGAACATTTTCTATTTTGCAGCGATGACAAGTATCACATTTATCCACAAATTCATGCAGCTGTTTCTTCATACCAGGCCACCAAAAGAATCGTTTCAATCGTTGATATGAAGCTTGAACACCAGCATGACCACCTACAGGTGAGCCATGGAACACCTGCAAAAGTTGATTCCTCATAGGTCCTGCCGAACCCACATATAAAGCACTTTTATGATATAATAACCCATTCTTCACACAATTAATCCTTGGGCCAAGGAAAGGAACTATGGCCTCAGTAATCAAAGACTGGACCTCAGTATCCCCAATATAACTATCTTCCACTTCAGTTAACCAACTAGGCAGAACAGCAGAAATTGCATCACAACTACCTGTAGGAGTGAAAGTTGGATGTCTGGACAAGGCGTCCGCCACTTTATTAAACTTACCTTGGCGATAACGAATCTCAAAGTCTAACCCCAACAACTTCACTAACCCTTTCTTCTGAATTTGTGTGTGAACCTTCTGCCCAAGTAAATACTTGAGACTCTCATGATCAGTTAGGATAGTAAATGTTCTTCCTTCCAAGTAGTGCCTCCACCTTGTTACGGCCATAATGACTGCCAAGTATTCCTTTTCGTATGTAGATAAGCCTTGCTTCCTTGTGCACAGGGACTGACTAAGGTAGGCGAGAGGTTTACCTTCTTGAGACAGCACTGCTCCAATTCCAAGATCACTGGCATCTGTTTCTAGAGTGAAAGGCTTGTTGAAATCTGGTAAGGCTAGTATTGGAGCTTGAGTCATTGCAGTTTTGAGAAGCTCAAAGGATCTCTGTGCCTGAGCGGTCCAACTGAAACCACCTTTCTTCAAGAGATCTGTTAGTGGTTAGCAATTAATCCATAGTTCCTGACAAACTTTCTGTAGTAGCCAGTTAACCCAAGGAAACCTCGCAATTCCTTGACTGATCTAGGTACTGGCCACGCCACCATTGCCGACACTTTGTTTGGATCAGTAGATACTCCTTCCTCATTAATAACATGACCCAAGTAATCAACCTGTGTTTGTCCAAATGCACATTTAGAAGGTTTCGCATAAAGAGTATTCTGTCTCAGAATCTCCAGGGTAGCCGTAAGATGTTCCACATGAGCAGCTTGAGTAGGACTGTAAACCAATATATCGTCAAAGAAAACCAGGATAAACTTCCTTAAGTAGGGAGCAAAAATCTCATTCATCAATGCTTGGAAAGTGGCAGGCGCATTCGTGAGACCGAAAGGCATAACAACGAACTCATAGTGACCGTTGTGAGTCCGAAATGCAGTTTTGTATTGATCTGGTGCATGCATTCTGATTTGGTGATAACCTGACAACAAGTCCAGCTTGGTAAAGTACTTCGATCCCTTCAACTCATCAAGTAAATCATCAATAACTGGTATGGGAAATTTGTCCTTAACTGTCAATGAGTTCAGTTGTCTGTAATCCACACAAAAGCGCCAAGAACCATCCTTTTTAAGAACCAACAGCACAGGCGAAGCGAAAGGGCTTCTGCTTGGTTGAATATAGTGAACAACCATCATTTCTTCCACCAGCTTGTCCATTTCCTTCTTCTGTGGTAATGAATATCTGTAAGGTCTGAGATTGACAGGCTTAGAACCTGGTACCAAGGGTATCTGATGATCACAATGGCGAACAGGAGGTAAAGTTGTAGGCTTCCCAAACACATCTGCATACTGCTGTAATACCGGTGCAAGAAAAGAAGGCACCTCATTCTTCTCAGTAGTCTCCACCTTCAAGGCAAACAATTGTCCTGCCCACAGTGGCATCTTTTGCCTGAGAAACTTCTGAATACCCTTACCTGTCATTGACTTGCAATTTCCCATCTCCTGTACTCCCTTAAGTGCCACCTCGGCACCATTTAAATCAAAGAACAATTGAAGATTGACAAAGTCGAATTTGACAGGACTTATAGTCCGCAACCAATCCAACCCAAGCACCATGTCATTGGAGCCCAAACTTAGAATTCTAGCATCATAAGAGAATTGGTGACCCTGCATCTCCCATTGGAACCCATGACAAACCTTAGTACTCATCAACACTGTACCATCAGCTAGTTTAACTCGTAGAGGAGCTGCCTTTTCAAGTGTGCAATTCAGCTCAGTAGCCTTGGCTTCATTCAAGAATGTATGGGTGCTGCCAGTGTCGATTAGAATGAACAATTTCGCCTTTTTCACTTTACCTTGCACCACCAGAGAGCTTGCGACTCCCCCGCTGCCTACAGCCTGCATTAGAACTTCTGCTGGCTCTGGTGAAGTCATCTCATTGAATGCCTCATCTTCTTTATCAGTGTCATCATCACTCCAGTCCAATGGTGCCACAACACCTACTTCATCAGCTACTAACGCATTCAACTGCTTCTTGGATTCACACACATGACCATAAAAGTAACGATCTCCGCATTTATAACAAGCTCCCTTCCCGGGGTTACTAGAGTTCTTACCCAATCCCGCAGTACTATTAGTATTCTTAGGCAGCAGTGGAGGCTTGGTAGTCTCCCATCGACGATTAACACCACCATTCTGTGGAGCAGCAGCTAGAACAGGACGAGGCATAGCGCCCCTGAGCTTCCTCCTACGAGCCTCATTCGATACTTCCTCTAACTTGGACAACTGGAAAGCGTGAGCAAGAGATTGGGGTTGCCACATTGATATAACTGGCCTGAGTTCCTCCTCCAAACCACTGATATAACTGGACACGAAATACTCCTCATCCAAGGCAGGATTATACCTCATCATCTGTGATTTCAATTCCTCAAATTTCTCTTGATATTCCTGAAGTGAACCACGCTGCCGTAGTTTGTTAAACTCACCAACCACACCCCCATAAGACCAATCGCTAAACCTCCGGCAGAAAGCAGGAACGAATTCATCCCACAGTAACTCAACCCGTCCGACTGTCCATCCTTCGTACCACAAATCAGCCCGTCGATCAAAATAAATGGCAGCCAGACTAACGCGTTGATATGAAGGAATCTTATAGATGTCAAACAGCTTTTCGCACTTCCTAATCCATTCACGCGGGTTCTCACCGGAGAAAGTTGGAAAATCCAAACGAGGAAGTTGATATTGGCTATTACCTCGAGGATTAGGA